AGGATACAAGTGAAGTAAGCACACCCCTCTACCATGCAGGATGCAATGGCCAGAGCTCTCGAATTTGAATCCTACGTTAAGTCCAGCACAGAGGTACCGAGGATGGAACAGTCATCTGGATTCAAGGCCAGAAAAGGTCTGCTTTCAGAGAGGTTTGGGGGACTTTGATGGCACTGTAATAAACCTGGGCACAAGAGAGCTCAATGCTGGAAGCTTCAACACAGGGGAGGTGCCACAGTAGGAAAGGCTGGTATCCAGAAAGGTTGTTGGAACTGTGGAAAGCACGGACATTTGAGGAGCCAGCGTAGGAGGAATATTACCAACAAGTCGGCCTCAAGGAGACCAGTAGTGGTTGGTGTCGAGCGACGCCCACCAACCCCCATCATGAAAGTCCCAACAGCTAGGTGTAAAATGCCAAGCACACACAGTGTCTATGTGACAGGAAAGCTAGATGGCCAAAGGTGCAACTTTTTCATAGACTCTGTGTCTCAGCAAACCTTTGTGAGCATCAAGGTGTTAGATAACGAAGGAGTACCAGAAGCCACACAGAAGCTTTATGGTGTGACGGGACATTCTACAAGGTTGTGGGGACCAGTGTGGGTAACTATTGAACCTGTCTGTCCTTTATGCCCATGAAAAGTATACTTGGCTGACATTGAAGAAGACGAATGCATATTAGGATTGGACAATCTACTACCAAGGAAGTTTGTAATTGATTTTGATAAAATGATGTTTGGGAACAACAAAGGCCAAGTTCTGGTAACTGTTAAAAGAGTGGTTGAGCTGATTGGGTGCCATCGGGCTGAAGTCAAAGTGACTGAAGAAGTTGATGATGATGAAGTGGAACCAGGTATCGATATCAAGGCAGAACAGAAGAAAGATCAAGATTTGAAGCCAATGATTGATTTCCTAAAAGTGAGTGTTGTGCGCCCTGCTTGGGAGAAGGTGTCTAGTCTAAGCCCCGTGACAAAGCACTATTGGGTGCAATGGGACCAGTTAAAGCTTGCAGATGGTATTCTTGTACGGAGATGGGAAACTACCGATGGGAAGGTGACGACTTGGCGAACAGTTATACCGAGGAAGTTACGGGAAGTTGTGCTGTGTCGATCCCATGATAATTTAACAGGAGGACATCTCGGAATTAGGAAGACATTGAGTCATCTACGACAAAGATTTTATTGGATAGGTATGAGGCGAGATGTGGAAGAATGGTGCCGGACATGCAGTACATGTAGTGCTAAAAGGGGACCCAAGCATAAGGGATGCCCACCTTATGAAGAGTTGCCTGTGAATATGTCAGAGTTTCTGAAAGTGTTATCGGAAAGGATGGATGCTATTCACCATCAAGTGCGTTCAGACTTGAAGGCGTCTGCTGATTCGATGAAGTTAACTTATGATAAGAGATCTACTGAAGTCAGCTTTAAACCAGGAGACAAGGTGTGGTTGTATAATCCCAGGAAGATCAAAGGGAAGTCTCCTAAGTTGTCTTCTCCATGGGAAGGCCCATATGACATAGTGGATCGTCTCTCAGACGTGACTTCCCGGGTAAAATGTGGTCGGCGAGGTAAACCAAAAGTGGTGCATGCCAACAGGCTTTGGCGTTATCACGGTCCAGGACATTTCAGTTGGGACGAAATGGACCACAGAACAAATGACGCTGCTGAAGACGTGACACCTGAAGAAGCCACCGTCGAAGAAGAAACTCCACTCAGTTTTGATAAGGGAAACGAAGCTCTTGATGAAGTTAC